AATTGAACATATTTTCTCTTCTATAGGTTCATCTAAGAAAAATATTTGCAAATGTAAATAATTGTTTTTTAGCTCTACTGGTCAGAGACCAGAAGAGCTTAAGCGATAGTAAGGTGTCCGACGTCCGTTCGTCTGTCTGTAAACAATTTTTCAAAACGCTATACTCCTCCTACAGTTTTGGTCTGATTTCAATATAACTTGACACACAAGTAGACTACACTGAGATACATAATTTAGTGCATCCGTTTTTGATTTCGATGAACGGTGTTGCCATGGTTACTAAAAACAGAAATTTCTTTGAAATTCCTTTAAAACGCTACTCCTCCTACAGTTTTGGTCTGATTTCAATATGACTTGGCACACAAGTAAACTACACTAAGATACATAATTTATTGCATCGGTTTTTGATTTCGATAACGGTTTTGCAAGGTTACTAAAAATAGAAATTTCTGTGAATTTCCTTTAAAACGCTACTCCTCCTACAGTTTTGGTCTTATTTCAATATAACTTAGCACACAAGTAGACTACACTAAGATACATAATTTAGTGCATCGGTTTTTGATTTCGATAACAGTTTTGCAATGGTTACTAAAAATAGAAATTTCTTTAAAAGGCTACTCCTCCTTCAGTTTTAGTCTGATTTCAATATACTTTGGCGCACAAGTAGACTACATTAAGATACATTATTCTATTTATTGCTGCGTGTTGCAAAGTTTCAAATCCAAGTGCTACTTTTCCTTTGTTATATGTACAGACCAGTAGAGCTACGGTCTCATCAGAGACTTCTGGTTATCATTTGCAGTAGTTTCAGATTCAATAAACATACAGTACTGAGATCCTAAGGAACTTTTACAACATGTTTGTTTATATCTGCATGACCAACACTTCTTTTTTTAATTTTAAAGTTACTTTTCAGTTTTGTTTGTAACGAGGTCCTGTCCTCCAAATTCACAGATTGTGCATTGAATCGATGGATCTAGTAAATATTAAAATGCAAATATATCCACAAAATCGTTGTTCTCGTGCGTTTAGAGAAAATTATTTATTACAGCAACAGCACCGATAACAGTATCAGCCATTTTCCGGCTGAATTTTCACTCGTTTCAGCGACACTAACCGGGTCATCTATATGTCATGTGATAAAAGTACGTGAACGGGTCATCGCCCGGATGTCTGAAACAAGTGTGCCCAATGTTTTTGCTCCGTGTTTGTGATGTCACAATGTGAAAATGACGTCAATATATAGGTCACTTGTGACAAAAAATGGTTGACTCAGTCGTACTCGAGCAACGATGATCAACGGCTGTAAAGTTTAACGTATATCTTGGAAATTCCTTTGCAGTAGAATATGATAATTTGTACAAGGTTTATGAAGATAAAAGACTTACCGGAAATTCAATCATTAATTGGATTGATTGTTTAAGTGAAGGCAGGGAGATGGTTAAAAATGAGGTTTGTTCTGTTGCCCAGCGAAAGCAAGCCAGGGAAAAGATGTTCCTTAGTTGAGGAATTTGTTATGAAACATCGTCAAGTTACAATAAGAAAAATAGTTGAATATCTTAACAATAATATAATTATTAAATCTCTAAAATATCGTTTAATTTAGATTTTAAACATATGAGATATGATATTAAAAAGAACTCGCCCATACTTTATCCACATTGGATATATAAACGACACTCCCGAGACAGAGGACTCGGGTTGTGATGGGTCACCATACTAATTGTGGGAAGGGATATTCTTATCCACCCATCCTATCGCCGAGATTTGGCCATTTCTGACAGATCGATGGACTGTTCTTGTTATAAAAAATAACTTGCATGGTAAGAAATATATGACTCGGAAAAATCTTTTAGCTTCTGTGAACAGACTGCTACGGAGCATGTCACGTGACTGCCTGGATCCCGTGATTCGCGCATGGGCAGAACAATGTCAGATGTGCAAATAAATCGGAGAGGACTACTTTAAAAAATAATAAACACTAAAACCTCATTTTATTTCTTTTAAGGAAGTAATTCAATTAGTTCGCGAAATTTTTGATCACCCCTCGTAAGTATAATACCCTATGTTGAAAATAAAAATGGACTCAGTATAGATCGATAAACTCAATATGTATGTTCACCGTTAAGTCCAGAAAAACGGTAAAGATCGAGCCCCCTTTAAGTCAAATAAGAGGTTTAACAGCATATGAAATCCAGTCTCCTAAAATTATTTTCCCTTCCACACAACTTTGTACAACAAAAATGTCAGTCGTTGTCAGTATGTCAGAATGCAAGTCCTATACATGAAAATGTAAGACTATCAAATGCAAATGCTGGCGATCACGCAGTTTGATGCAAAATCTAACAACTTTTAACAAACGGAAAATTACAACATGTATGAACATGTTGTAGAATAACATATTTGTATTGTCTTATGATCAATGACAATACATGAAATTTGGACACTTAAATGACACTGGTATTGTCTATGCCGGATCATTAACACTGAATACAATGTAGCTTGGTTATTTATATAACTGTTTATATATATATATATATATAAATATATATATATATAATTATATTGTTAATTATGTTTGTGCACAAACAAGCTTTAAAGATTTTCAAAGATGTTTATTGGACTCCTCAATGGTAGATATACTTCAGAGGGTAAGAGACTACAATAATAAAAAGTCATCTTACAAAGTGGTAATTAGAGGCAAACAACTTAAAATTATAAACATCAAATTGACAAAGTTGCTACAAACTAACATTCCACGTTTTACACAATGCCAAAATTTAAAATTTCGAGAAAATAAGGATTTATGACAGAAAAAATGATGCTCCCAGATACATGTTCATTGTAGAATATATCAATTGACTTATGAGTATGAGTAACTTCATGTAAATGTCTTGGAATTGTAACAAAATAATAGCGATGATAATATTAATCCAGTTTTCACATACTGCCATGACCATGTGCGCTTTCCAATTCATGTTTCATTAAAATATGCAAAAACAGTTTGACGACAATAAGCGTAGCTTTACATATTTGATAACTAAACAGTATTACACATTTGGAAATAAAACTTACTCTTTGGACTGTCTAACAACAACGAAACAAGTGGTAAATTTGTCGTTGACAAAATGCGGGATCCATACATGCCAACTTTTGAAAATTTCCTTGGGGGAGATTGCGCGTAACGACATTTTTCAAAATTCTAAATTCGCGGCATTTTGTCGTGAAAATAAGTATTTGTTGGGTTTTTTCAAATATCAGTCTAATACCTTGTATCATATATTATCACTACTTCATAAAGTGATTTCTTCTCTATCAACTTAAACAAAAACACAATATTATTTAAAATTTAAAAAAGAAAATTTTAATCAAAATTATTTAATATGTTAATATAAACATAACCCCCCTGCCATATGCAATGTCATACACATACAGATTATTACATGGATAAGGATGTTAAACTTAACTACAAATAAGCTAAAGCAAGTTACTAAAAGAGTTCATGCAGTTACTGTTTTTGTCTATTGGTAAATTACACATTTTATAAAGCTACTAAGTCACAGACAAATAATTTCAAATTTGTAATTTTTTTTTAATCAAAGGGAATACTAAGAAGCCACTTTTAATGTTTTCATACAAAGTCAGATTAGTCTGTAAAAGGCATGGTACGTCTTCTCCTTTCTAACTTTTTGTGAACCACTCCTGGAATTCTGCTAAAAAAAAACTAATGGTTTGTACTTGCAGACGCATCTTTTCAAGTTGGATTTTGGCAGTGTCTTTTCCATGATCAATGACGTAGTTCGTAATTATAGTGAGAAATGCCGTATTTCCTAAACTTGAAAACCTTATAGCTTATACGTATATTGTGACAGTCAAATTTTGCTGTAAAGTGTGAACTCGTCACAAGTTTGTATCCTGTCGTGTGTATTTCTAAAATTTCCACATCTGGCATGATTGTCTAGGTTAGTATACACTGTTAATGAGAATCGGGAGCAATTAAAACCACAGTAATGACTGGTAGCACAGTTGACACCTTGTTGATTACCTGTTATCAGCGGCAATAAACAGATATCTACCGATAAACATTCGAACTGCCATCTTTTTTCACACAGAAATGCGGTATTATTCAAAGCGGATCGGTAAAAAATCCGGAATTCCTAAAAATCGGTAGAAATTGGATTAAAAAAATATATCGGTAGACAAGCGGTAGGTAGGGTTAAAAATCGGTAGACTCCCGAAAAAATCGGGAAAGTTGGCATGTATGGGGATCTTCCCGGATGTACACAAACATAATCTGAAACACTATAAAGTCTGAACCAGAACGGATAATATCCGTAACACCACACTCCCCTTCTGATTTCTATGGGAAATCACTTTTTGTGTTTACATTACTGAAAATAATAGATCTTAAGCAAAAATGTACAACATGATACATTATATCATTACGAAAACACAAGGGGCACAAGTTTATGGATGGGTCTTACATATACTGACACAGTGTCCCCTTTAATGACACGAACTTCGACTTCTCGTACACGTCCATCAACTGAAGGGAAAGTTTTGGTCACAAGAGCCAACGGCCACTGATTCCTTGGATTTTCAGCCTCCTTCAACATGACAACATCTCCTTCTTTCAAACTACGCTCATCAGAAGTCCACTTGCGTCGAGTCTGAAGAACGGACAGATACTCTCGTTCCCATTTACTCCAAAATTCAGCTGCAAGAACTTGTACGTAGCGCCACTGAGACTTATATAACTCTTTGGGATCTATTGTGGGTAATGATTCCGGTAAGCGTCCTGTCTTTTGAGTGAGTATCATTGCAGGTGTAAGGACAGATGGGTCGCTGGCATCCTCTGATATTTCGGTGAGTGGTCGTGAGTTCACTATGGCGCAAACTTCTGAAAGAAATGTAGACAAGGTTTCATGGGTTAAACCTTTCATTCCATCTCGGAGAAGGATGCCATCTAAAATTCTGCGAGTTACGCCGATCATACGCTCCTACACTCCACCAAAGTGGGAAGCATGTGGAGGGTTAAAGAGCCAGGAACAATCCTTGTCTTGAAGGAATTTCTGCACTGTAGGCTTCTCAACGAATTTGTGCACCATCTGTAATTCATTTACAGCGCCAACAAAGTTGGTCCCTCTGTCTGAGCGGAATTGACGGACAGGTCCTCGTACAGAAAGGAAACGCCTTAATGCGTTAATAAAGGAAGAAGTACTCAATTCCTCTACAAGCTCGATGTGGATTCCCCTGGAGACCAAACAAGTGAACAGAACTGCCAACCTCTTACTTGTGGCTACTCCTCCTCGCGTACGTCGAGCTGTGTCATCCCAAGGTCCAAATGTGTCGACGCCGACGAATGTGAATGGGGGTCCTGGAGTCAATCGATCTACTGGAAGGTTAGCCATCTTTTGATTGCAGAATGATCCTCGTAACCTGCGACATGTAATACACCAATGGATCTCTGATGCTATTAGACGCTTGGCTCCTATTATCCAGAATCCTGATGACCGTATCTTGCCTTCTGTTATCCGACGTCCTTGATGGAACACACTGTCATGGAAGTGTCTTATCAACAGAGTTGCCACATGGGATTTCTTTGGTATGATTATAGGATGCACATCAAAGCTCTCCCACTAAAGTAGTGGAGAAGTTGTCTTCCCTTAGGAATGCTGGTCCTCGCAGCCACGTACTTTGTGGGAGACTTTAGGCATCGAACGCTCGAGTGCCCAAGTTGGCTGGGTTTTGGTCTGTAGCTATGTGTCGCCATTGTTCAGGATCACTAAAGGATCGAATCCTACTCACCCTGTTTGCGACATACACATAAAAACGTCTTGCATCATTAGTGATGTAGCCAAGAGCAATCTGGCTGTCACTGTAGAACCAGAAATCATTCTTCTCTAGATCCATCTGTTCTTTAATGATCTCTGTGATTTCTGTCCCAAGTACGGCCGCACACAATTCTAGATGGGAATGGTGTGCCCATGTGCTGGGGCCACTTTTGCCTTTCCCATAAGGAAACCAACTTCACTGTTATCACTATCCTTCCACACCTTCAAAAACACTACTGCTGCTATCGCATCCTTAGAAGCGTCGGTAAAGATGTGCACTTCCTTGCGCAATGCTTCGATAACAGAAAACTTGCAGCACATCCTTGGGATACTGATGTCCTGGAGATGGCGGATAGAGCTGACCCAAGCTGACCATTTCGAGTGAAATGAATCATCGAGAGGATTATCCCAATCAACATTGCCAGAAGTTGTCAACATCTGCCGGAATAACATCTTCCCCTGTACAGTCACTGGTGATGCAAAACCAAGGGGGTCGAACAGATTATTGATGGTTGATAAAACTCCCCTACGAGTGAAGGGCTTCCCATCAGTAGATATCTTGAAGGTGAAGACGTTAGCATTGATGTCCCATGACATGCTGAGACTTCTCTGGACAGGTAAATCATCTCCACCAATATCTAAATCCTTCAGGTCTTTGGCTAGATCATCCGCTGGAAACTTCAACAACACTGACTTAGAATTTGAGGAGATTTTGTGAAGTTTTAGTTGTCCCCCTTCTTTCAGAGCAAGCTGAGTTCTCTTCATCAGGTCTATGGCCATACCTTCACTTGGACAACTTAAGAGTCCATCATCTACGTAAAAGTCTTTCGATATGAAGTCAATCACATCAGGGTCAGAGTAAGCAACACAACGACGTAGTCCATATGTTGCGACTGCCAGGAATGGGCGATTCCCAAAGACATGGACGGTCATTCGGTACTCCTTTAATGGCAGGTCTAAATTGTTTTCTGGATGCCATAAAAAGCGCAAGTAATCTCTGTGATCTAATTTCACCTTAAAATTGTGAAACATCTGTTCCACATCCCCTATTACTGCTACCTTCTCACGACGAAAGCGTAATAGAATGCCTTGAAGATTGTTCGTGATGTCTGGACCTTTCAGGAGGACATCATTGAGTGAAATGTTGTTGAACTTCGCAGATGAGTCAAACACCATTCGTATGGAATCTCTTTTTTGCGGGTGATAAACACCGAGCATGGGAAGGTACCATCGTTCTTTCGTATCTGGAATAGGTGGTGCTTCCTCTGCATGTCCCTTCTCAAATATTTTGTCCATGAACTTTGACACGTGTTCTCTCTTGATAGGGTTCCGTTTCAAACTACGATCAAGCGACAGTGCTCGATTGATGGCTTGGGGTTTATTGTTTGGTAACAGCTGCCTTTGGGTCCCGAATGGAAGAGGCGCCTACCAATAACCATCTGGGTTCCTTTGGAATTCTTTGTCCATAATGTCAAGAAAGGTAGTGTCCTCTATGGATGGAGCAATTTTCTCATCATGATCCGTTTTCAAGAAGACATCATCCTCAACCAAGAGCTTGTTATCACAAGGCTGAAACACTGAAGGACGGCCATTGCTCAACACATGTTTTATGTACTGTCACTTTATCAGGCATGTGAATGGCATCTAGACAAACAGGCCCAATAATTACCCAGCCTAGGGGAAGTTTCTGCGCATAGGGAACAGGCTTTCCTGTCACATGTCTTTGGTCCTCAACAACATGAGCAGAAATGAGATCTCGTCCAATCAGTAGTTCAATCTCGGCACTCTCAATCAACTCTGGAATGCTGTCTTTGATATCTGCAAGGTGGGAAAATTGTTCGGCTATATGAGGTGATGGTATTTCCTCCCTGTTGTTCGGTAAATCTGAGCATTCAATTAATGTGGGGAGATCAAAGGAACAACTGCCATCAATGGATTCAACAACGAGTCCCTGAGCCCTTCTTCCTGCTGACATAACTGAACCCGAACAAGACGTCAAAGTGTACTCATACTCAGGTCCATCCACATTGAATGCATCGAGGAGTGAGGGTACTGCTAGGGAATGATTGCTTTGGTCATCCAACATAGCATAAACAATTCTGCACTGATTTACAGAGTCTTTAAGGTATATTTTCACTGGCAGGATTTTTGCACAAGACTTGCTTGTCCCCTTCACTGTCCCACATATTTTAGTGCAAGAAATTGTGACAGCTTCACGACTTTGCTCCCCTCCATGGTTTTCCTTTTCCCTGCGATCTCGATGACTAGGACTGTCGATATGAAGTGCTGTAGGATGAGAGGACTGGCTACACAAGCCACACTTTACCAAGGGTGTACAATTCTTAGCATAATGTTTGTCAGGCCCACAACACTTTAGGCAGATTCCATTGGCTATAATAAACTTCTTTCTTTCTTCCATAGTCTTAGACCTGAACTTGGTACATTCATTCAGCGAATGTCTTGTGTGATGATAAGGACATCGTACTATATCATCATTTTCACTATGTTTAGACACAGGGGTTGTTTCTGTTTTTCTAGTCTGAACCTCCGGAATGGCTGAATTGTGACGGATGGTTCGCTGATGCTGCTGTACAGGCATCTTCTCTTCTTCTCGTAATTGAAGCTAGGATTGTTCTTCATTTTAGCTAGGTCCTTTATAAACTTCAGAAAAAAGGAGAAGGGGGGAAACACAACAGTTTCACGGTTCTTGAACTTTGTAGCTTCAACTGTCCATTTTTCTCGGAAGCTGGGGGGTAACTTTGAGACAAGTAAGTTGACCCCTGTTGGAGAGTCGAAGTATGCAAACAGATTTGCATAAAGGGTCTGACGTTTTACTGAGGCTATTTCATCAGCTAAGTCTGCGAGACTATACAGTCTCTTCGGGTCAGTAATTGAAATCCTTGGAAATGAGCTGATCTGGTTCTTAAGATAGTTCTCAATCAGTTCTGGGGCACCATAACGTTCCTCCAGCCTCTCCCACACTAAAGTGAGTGCTCTTGTCGGATTTTCAGCATTGCATTTCCGAATTGTGGCTGCCTGCTTAGAGGAGTCCGATCCAAGATAGCGTACCAGCAGGTCCAATTCTTCCGAAGGCGTAGTGCTCAGTTCCTCCATAACTGCTTTAAATGTATTGAATGCTTCCAAGTAAGATAGAAGCTCGGATTGTCATCAAACTTTGTGAGCCGCGACAAACTAAGGTCCTTTTTCAGAAGAAACTTTGCTAAATCTGCAATTGGTTCTTTATTACAGTACATGTGATTTGCAGTCATAGGAATGTTGTTTATGGCTTCACCAGGGGGTAAACACTGATTGTCACTGTTCACAACAGGCACTAAAGTTTCGCTCTTAAATGGTGTAGCGTGTGGGTTCAAAGGCGATGAGGAGAATTCAGGTAGATCCGGTAATGAGCCTGAAATTTGTGTTGCATTTAAAGGCTGTCGGGGTTCAGTGAAAATGAGTCGTGCAGGCTGAACATGCAGAGATGGCGCAGGATTTGTTTCCCAGGAATGCTGAGTAGGTCCATGAATTGTCTGCTGATGCGGCACAAGGTATGACCCATGTTGCTGAACAGCTGATTGTCTCTTGGGTAAACTATCAACATACCGTTGTGTCCTCGACATGGAGTCTTCTTCAGGAAGGTTGAAATCTACAGACGTCTGTTTTCAAAGCAGTGACTTCAGCCTTTTTCGTCTCTATCTCCTCTTCTATCTTAATGGCCTTCAACTTTGTCTCAAGGTCTGCTCTCTGGCGGATGATGTTAGCTTCTTCCTCCAGAAATTTCTTCTTCACAACAGCTGCACGTAGTTCTGCTTCCTTTCGTTCTAAATAGCTTACATTTGACTTCACCGAGTTCCTGTGTGAGTAACGACTCTGTGAAACAGAAGGTGGTGGGGGATTCAATAAAGAGTCTATTCTATTAGACACCATACTTGCTTTACAGAGCACTGTTTTGCATATCAGGTTGTGTGAGGATTCTTCATTATCACTTTCATAACTCCTAACTGTTCTAAGATATTCAATAAACTTGAATGAAAGTTCTTTGTATGCTTTTTCACATGACTGTATTAAATCTCTAACAGATTTCAGAGAGCTTGGATCATCCTTGATCTGATCAACGTGAGCTGCACCTGCGTCCATATCATCCTTGATGTTGCGTAGCTCCGTCGTGAAATTTGGTCACTCTACGTTCATATTCCTCCTGGGCTGGAGTTCTTAAGTGTCTTCTTCTCTTTGATTCTCATGGTTCACCTGCTTCCATTAACTCTGTGTATAGGTCAGTCATCATTGTTTGGTAATGAGTCCAGATCTCTTACTGTGCACAAACAAGCTTTAAAGATTTTCAAAGATGTTTATTGGCCTCCTCATTGGTAGATATACTTCAGAGGGTAAGAGACTACAATAATAAGAAGTCATCTTACAAAGTGGTAATTAGAGGCAAACAACTTAAAATTATAAACAAGTTGCTACAAACTAACATTCCACGTTTTACACAATGCCAAAACTCAAAATTTCGAGAAAATAAGGATTTATGACAGTAAAAATGATGCTCCCAGATACATGTTCATTGTAGAATATATCAATTGACTTAAGAGTACGAGTAACTTCATGTAAATGTCTTGGAATTGTAACAAAATAATAGCGATGATAATATCTAATCCAGTTTTCACATAATGCCATGACCATGTGCGCTTTCAAATTCATGTTTCATTAAAATATGCAAAAACAGTTTGACGACAATAAGCGTAGCTTTACATATTTGATAACTAAACAGTATTACACATTTTGCACATAAAACTTACTCTTTGGACTGTCTAACAACAACGAAACAAGTGGTAAATTTGTCGTTGACAAAATGCGGGATCTTCCCGGATGTACACAAACATAATCTGAAACACTGTAAAATCTGAACCAGAACGGATAATATCCGTAACACCACAATGTTTAAAGAACTGCGAACGATAGTATTGTTCTCCTGCCTACCTCCAAGTCAATTTTCAAAAGTTAAGATATTCGAATGATTTTTAATATTTATATTGACATTTATATGGATTTTCATAAAACATCACTTCTTTGGGAAAACAACGAGAGATAACTCTAAAATTTTGGTAAAACTCGTGTTTTTCACTATAGAAATCAACGGAAAACGGAAAATATTTTTAAAACATCTTCCCCCCCCCCCCCCCCGTGAAACAAAAATTCCTTTTTACAGGTAATATGGACTGTCATTTCACAAATTCATATCAAAGCTTTTTGTGTTTCACGGGGGGGGGGGGGGGGGGAACATATGTTTATATACAAAAAACGACAAAAATGCTTAATATTTTTTCAGCAATTTCCAAGTGCTTTACAACTGAAACATTATATTTTACTATTATATATGCTTAATTTTATATGCATAAAACATAAGAAAAGATTTAAGAAACATTTATTCATATTCAAGACTATTTCAGAATATGGTGATGCTTTATAGCCCGATTTCAGTGGAAAATATCGTCTACCCCCCTTATTTCAAGAGCTAGAATTAGGGATATTTTACTATTTAGCACTGGAATTAAAATAATTAATCAATTGCCATTGAACTGTTCTTTGTATTAAACAAAGATTTTATGGCCAAATTGCCATCAATATTGAATTAAATGGTTGTAAAATGTAGGCGGGAATCGGGAGTTACCGTGCGTAGTTATTGTGCATTTATATATGTGGAAATGCCTCTCGGGCCCATTGATTGGTAAATAAAATATCTTGTATCTTGTAGGCCTATACACGTTGTAACTGGGGGTGGGGGGGGGGGGGGGTAGATAATTTACAACACAATAGTAGAATATAGGGTTCAAAAGGTGTGTTCCCCGAGCGTCTACTGGACTAAACCAACATCTAATTATCACATTCAATTAAGGGGCCCTCTAAGGGGTACAGGTAGAATTTACCATCATTTATGAACTAGCTTTACCTGTATTTATTGAAGGAGGAATTCTACAGCAACAATAATTTTTGGATCTTTAAGGCATCTCTTCTGAAACATGGTTTCAGTATGGAAAGATTGATAAACGATATTTATTGTTTTACATGATTTTTTTTTCAGGGGAAATGTAAAAATCTTGAAGATTTTATCCATTAGTTTTAAAAAAAATGCTAAAAATAATGTGTTTTATTTTCATAAATAATTTTTTAGCAAAAATAAAAAAAAAGCTTATCTGATTTTTTCTTGACATTTTTTTTTATTAAATATTTATATTATCCATTCATTTATTTAGGGCGAACTTTAAACTCTAACGGATCTTATTTGCAATTGAAACAATCTTTTCATTTTCTCCTAAAACCCCCCGAAATTCATAAAAATTAATTTAAACTTATATCAATCTTTCCATATTTAAGCCATATTGCAGAGGAGATGTCTTAAAGATAGGTTAAATAAAATTTCCGTGAACATGTAAGTAGCATTATTTCTTAAACAGGAAAAATCGATCGACCATATGTCATTTTTCTTTCCAAAATATCTTATGAAATGAGTTAAATAAATTTTGCTATAGATACTCTTAATTTAAGGTATTCAATGTATAACGACCATATTTTGTAACTCATTAATGAATGGTCCATGGTTTTTGATTATGGTAGCAATATAAAGGTGTAATTAAATAAAAATGCTCCACCAGAGGAATTTGCCAAATTTTGTTTATTGTCCAATCAATTGCACCTTGAGTTTAACATTGAAGTCTATGGGTAGCGCACGTTTTTTTAAGATATTGTAAATAGTAATTTGAATTTGAATCAAATCTCTTGGTGAAAATATGCATAAACTCTCTCTTTATTTAACTATGAAATAAAATGAAACATTTACCGCAGATATTTCGACAAATTCAAAATTTTCTCTTTTTCATCAAGGGCAGATGACTCTTCAAAAACTTTTAAGGAGCAAAATGACCGGCTTCTTACATGTTATCAGTCTTGTGAATTTGGTTTATTTCACTTTTATTGTTATCTAGCATTGCATTTTTAACTAGTTTAAAATCATTCAAAATCGTTCAAAATCCCTTCATTATACATTGAATACCTTAATTTAGTTTTAATCACCGTTTCAAAGCATTAATTTTAAATATTATAATAATAAATAATTTCAAAATCTTTGTTAGTTTGCATCATGAAATTGGGTTTTGGACAATATTTTTAAAGGTAAGTTGTCAACAAATTTTTGCCCCCCCCCTTTCAAAAACGGATGTAAATAAAACAGTGCTAACTTTAGATATTGCTTCCAAACAAAGAGGTATAGCTGGGGTTTAAAAAGTGGGGAAAGGGGCAACCTCCCAAAGAAATCTGACAAGTAAAATTAAAATAATTATAGAAAAAAACCTTGAAAATCCTATTTTATGTGTTCGTGTGTGGGGAGGGATGGACTTTCTCTAACTGTTTGAAGATTTTTATTCAGGTGCTGGATTTCGCCAGAGCTCGACCTCACAGCAACAGAAAGTAAGAGGGGTCAGCATCTAAATGAAAATTTACATATTAGATCTAGAGGAATAGACTATACTACAGGAAAAGTCTATATGCTCAGAAAAATGCCCCCCCCCCCCCCTTCATTCTATGGACCTGCAAATGCGATGTGAAAAAAAGTTCTCCATATTTAATATAGATTAAACAAAGCTTAAAATGTTAAAATGTGGTGTAAGTTATGCTTCAAGTGCCAAGTGCTAGGCTAAAAAAAGTCATGTTTTAAAATATAATTCATCACATGTTATTTGTTAATTTAGATGTCTTGTGCAGTTGTGTTTCTTTTTCGAATTTTAAATGTATTCTAAATAAAAATATTTATTACATGTACATGTTAATTTTGAAAAAATATTTGTCAGTGCCTTCATTTCTTTAATTACAGCAAGTATTTAATCAATAAATCTCAGTGTGCTTCAGTACACAGTTTTATCAGTAAATATTAAATTATTTAATTTTGACTACTTTGTTAAATCAAGGTAACACAGATAAACTCTACCTGGACCCCTTAGAGGGCCTCTTAATTGAGTGTGATAATTAAATAGTTGTTTTAGCGAATAGACGTTCGAGGAATAAACCGTTCAAAGGTACAAAAGTGTTGTCCAAGATCAAGAACAGTGTCGTCATAAGATTTCTGCGGAGAAAGGGGTGCGGGGAGGGTCTGGGAGGGCCCGGTACTCCCTATAATTAATAAACCAGAAACTGTTTATTAATGGATCCATACCGTTTTGGTGGGTTTTGGTGTATTCTGGGAGTCATTTTTCTTATATTAAGTAAACAAAAATTAAATCTAGCAGTTTTATTTCAAACAGATGAATAATTTAATTTTATTTCAATTGCTTCAAAAATAATATATTTTGAGATTTTTTTTTTCAAATTGAGATGCGATCGCACTCTTCTTCCTGACGCTCTCGAATAAATAATCAGAGATTATTTGATTTCTTAAACCTTCGGCCCTCGTGCTGATATTGGGCCACTCAGGCTGATATGACATATGATAACAGGCCCGTAGGAAGCAAATTCATTTGGGGGGGGGGGGGGGGCAGAGCTAGCCATACATTTTCAGTTGACAGTTGAGGGGGCACTACCAAAAGTTTCCTGACAAGCAAAAAAAAAAAAAAAAGAAGAAAAAAAGGTCATCAGACGTTTTTATTGAGGGGGCACAAGCATATAGTATCTATGTTTACTATAGTAATCTATTTATCGGCAAAATTATTGCCCCCCCCCCCCCCGGTTCCTACGGCCATGGATTTTAATATGTAATATATTCTATTTATCCCATGTTTACCCCTTTATCCCGTGGATATGACTCATTGGATAATTTTTTCATAATCCACAGTTGTGACGTCACAATGGTTTTTGCGTTAGCGCGATGAAGTAAAATAAAGTGGAGTCCTATATAAAACAGTGTAAAACATTGGTTATGAAGTATATATAACATGGGATAAAAAGAATCTCCCATGATTTGTAGTTGGATATGACTTTTATCCAACTCGTTGTGTGTTTTTATCCCCTCGCCAAAGCTCGGGGATAAAAAACACACAACTTGTTGGATAAAAATCATATCCAACTACAAATCATGGGAGATCCTATATATATATAGACACGCACGCGGGTTTTGTATTTTCGCGGGAAAAGTCTTCTTGTTGTAGCAACAAGAAAATTCATGCGCCATTCTAGCACCCCAGACATTTAGATAATGATGCCCAAAATGAGTCATATATAATGCACTTTTATTGAAATTTATTACTTATTGGTCGAAATAAATTACATTCACATAACTTTTAGAAACAAAAGAGAAAATCTAAGCAACTGTTTTTCGAACTACTTTTGTATGCAAGGGAGCTTCCGGTGTGGTATGGCATGTATTAACAAATAATGGGACAGTTTTCACAACTTTTGGGTATGGAACTATATTGATATATAAGAAAATTTTAAAATATATATGATTGATATTGACGTAATTTCTTAGCTATAGTCATTGCGAAATTTTTATCGAAGTTTCAAAGTTGGATGATTTGATAGTCTTACGTAGGTCAAAGACTGAAATTAAGAGAATGTTTCTCAAACTGTTTAGTCAAACTTTAGCATATGTATAGCATGTAGATCCATATCTTGCCATTTTATAAAGAGATTCTATTCCCCAGATTGGGATATTTATAGCCGAAATATATATTTTTTTAATTTTTGCATTGCAAATGTATATTTTAATTGGGATATTATATCCTTAACGGGCTATTATATCCCATTTGGGCGATTGGTCCGAACTTGTTCCCTATTTCCAGACAATTTGTTAATGATTTGTTTGTTATGATGTATACATAGAGTTCTGAAGTGAAGAAAATGTCAGATCAGGAGGCCTCCCCAGAGAGGCCCCCGTCAGGGGATGGCAGGGAGGAATCTGAAGGGGAGTCCAAAATCAAGGTGGATGAGAACAGCCCAGAAACAGACACCAAAACAGATGAGGAAATTAGACAGAAATCATCACAAGAAATATCTGATAGCCTGGAAATGGATTCTGACAACAAAGACCGACCTGTCAGCTCAGAGAGTACCAGTCGACCTAGGAGTAGTGGAAGCGATACTGTTCAACCCTGGAAGGGACGCAGAAAGAAGAAAATGAATGTTGATCCTGATGCAAGACAAGTTACATTCACAATAACCATTTGTATTGCTGTTCCAACAAGTAAGTACCGTTCATAAACAATTTTACCTTGTGTTGTGTGTCAATTGATTTGTTTCTGTATGTAATGCTTGTGACATCTAACGCTATAGATAAAATCATTAAGACATACATTGATTTTTAACTTAAGATTTTTTTTAACATCACACAGGGAACAATTTCAGTATATTTATGTGATAATTCTTCTCTGCATGTCAATTTCATTCTGTAGACTTGTTTGGTATCATCAGAATTTTATGCAATGTTTGTCTTGATTGGTACACTCAGGAGATATTCCAGTACAGTAATAGAAATTGTTTCAGCTTTCACTTAATAGTTTATCAAGCAGAGAAAATTTTTTAGTATACACATTTAATGTTAGGCATTCATGTCTTTTAAAATTAAGACATGATTAGAAAAAAGTCAGTGATACGATGATAGATAAAGTCTTAGTATATAATGTTTATATTAACACATTTAATCCAGATCTCTGTCATTATATTGGTTGAAAAAAAATAAATAAAAACTAGTTAATAAATGTATATTTATTAAAGAAAAACCTGTATCAAAAAGAAATCAAAGAGGTGCGTATGTAAAACATATATAAGCCAATTCTTCTACATGTATATTGGACATAAACATTTGACATATTATTAATAAATACTTATATATAGTAATATAAATACCATTACAGTCTTTTTGCAAGGATAATTTAGCTGAGTTTCTGTCTATGTATCATAAGAAACATATTCTTTATTTCTTGTTATCCTTACTTGTACATATTGTATACAAATATCACATTCTATAATGTCTGGCCTTACGGTCTTGTGATTCCATACCTTCCATTCCTTATGTTTTCAATTCCATTAACACAGAATTACTCTGAAATTACACTTTGGTGCTTTATTCAAAGAACATTTTTGTATAGACTACATGCAATTACTTCTGGAACTTTTTCACACATTTCTATCTTTCCATACTTCATTTATCTGGATATTTTTCTCTGGTGCTCATATTCTTTTCACAGTATGAAATTGTATGAAATTAGCTTCTGCATGAATATTCCATGAGTAAAAGGTTTAACATAAAAAAAAAATGTAACAAGAAATCTGTCAGAATAAGTTTGGACATTTATGTGACTTGTATAATCATTGAATGCATGATCCCCATTAATAAGGCCATAATGCAAAATGTTTGAATCTCATAATCTTGATAGTTGCACAGAAACTTCATTACTTTGTCAAGCTATCATAAAATGAATTTTGATTACAGCTGTTCAGAACAACAATGCCACACCCTCACGACCTTCAACTGGTATGTCTTAGCTGTAGAAAACACTGAGAAATCTCTGTAGAGCTTATAGATCTCTATTACACAGGGTAGCTGGTTAGAGTCTCTATCATATAGCCATTAGATAGTTTAAATTACAAAAGTTCTGGAAAAGGTTTTTGCACCTATAACTTTTTTAATATTAGTGCTGGACTTTAATTATGTTTTATGTCCAGAATTAGTGTTGATACACACATTAGTAGCCAAATTAGTCTGAACTTTTTTACTTGCCTTGCAAATCTTCACTCTAATTTGACTACTTTTATATTTATTTTTTTTTTTTCAATTAGATTTGATTTCAATATAATAAAATTTGATAGAAAGATAAATTTCATGCTAGCATACAGCACATGCATTTTGTGCATACATTAAATTATACACTTGTTTGGCATTTATGTTCAAATAAGGTGACAGGTTGTATAATCTTAAGAAGTGGAAGTTTAATACTTTAATAATAGGCATATGATCATGATGACAGCATTGATATTTTTCACTGAAAACAAGTAGAAAGTCTGAATACTCATGATAAGGTATTTACTTAGTGCTTTTACATGCTGTCACCTTGCTTTCATGAATTCTCTGTCTTTGCTGTAAATTGTTTGATGATTTATTGATGTTGTATTATATATGGACTGTTATAGGCAGTGTTCACTTGACTTCACCTTTTAATGACTCTTAAGTCCGCTAGTATAATGGCCGATCTGGAAAAGGATCTCATTAATGGTTACATTGTGTCTTAACAATAGGTCTGCATGCTTCCTTCATATATAGCAGTGAAGGAGATTGAATTTATTATTTATGTATTGATGCTGTTATGGCCGTCTAGGTGCCATGAATATTGACGATCCAATTATCCACTTAAGTGTTCTTAATGTTGCCTAATTATTACTATCATGCAATATGTGTTTAGAACATGCAATGTATTAAAGATTTATTTTTATGTGGTTAACATGGTTAATGTATCATCAAAAGTCATAGGGTAAAAAGAAAGGGTACATTAGGATGTGAGATACAAAGTCAATCATTAAAAGTGCTTTTATCACCTGATAATTTAGGACAAATGACATTAAACAACAGCTATATCTGTGATGTAGAATATTCTGACACTGAAAGCCATGGTACTTATTAAATAAAAAGCTGCTATTGATTATAGAGGACATGTCTTGTAGGAAGCATATTTTGAGTTTTCATTTCAGACTTCTCAAACAATCAATGACTTAGTGTCCCATTGTAAAGCCAGCATGGTGTGTTGGCCATTTTTGTGAAATCAGAATGATATTGATTTGAGGTCTGGTTATAAAAGGATTTTCGTTTTCCGTTATATTATCAGTAAAATCTGACATTTGTTCTGGATTCTGAATGCATGGTAAGGGACACCAAAAGCTGCTTTTGATATTTTTAACAATCCTATATGGCATGTATTTGATTTTCAGGTAAACAGATGAACTTGTATTTGTTGTAAATTAAGAATATACACATCATTCAGAGATGTATTTAGCTATTTTATTTCACTTAACCCTTTTTATGTGAAGGGGAATAATGAGAAGGATTGCTGAAGTGTGAAGTAATATACTATGGGAGTCCGAGGGCATGCCCCGGCCCTTGGAAATGTTCAGATATATGTTGCAAAAATCTGCATTCTGAGAGCTAATTTGCAGGTCATTTCTAGAACTACAGTTGAACTTCGGTATCTCAAACACTGATATCTCAAATACCATGGATATGTCGAAGTGATTTGGAAGTCCCAATCATTAATTCTTCAAGTATTAATTACCATTGATATCTAGAATCGTCAGATATCTCGAAGTTATTCCTTGGTCCCATCGAGTTTGAGATTACGAGGTTTAACTATATCATAAACAATTAAATGTTTCATGTATGTTAATCAGGAAATTTTCTGTTTAGAAAAAAAGGGGGAATTGGAATTTTTTCTAAAGGGGAAAGGTATCTTTTAATGGTATAGTTAAAAACAGCATTGATAAATCCCTGTCATCTGAGTTATAGTGTAAAATTACACTAATACAGTTGATGTTGGCAATCACATTGAAACTTCATTGTCATTTTGTCAAATTTTGTTAACAAATTCTCTTCACAGGTGGGAATGTGAGTCAACCACAGTCTAGGAATTCAACACACAATACCCCCGAGAAGACAGAAAATAATACCCCGGCTCCTGGTAGTCTCCCTTTTCAAAATCCCAAATAATTCAAAGCATGCTGGTTCTCTGTCCTTTTTTTTTAAAATAAAATTTTGAATGTTGCTTCACAGATTGTTACAATATCAAAATTATGTTCAAATCTTTAAGGCGCTTGAAGGAAAGATAGCTTTAGTGACTATGCTGTCCCTGCATCACATTTCTGCATGCATACCTTGGATGCATGAATTAGAAAGTGCTGAATATTTATATATCTATTTTAAAAAAGTAAAATCTATGTTATTGTATTATTTTTTAATTCTTTGCATATTTTCAGGGGTTCTTAATAACTTGTTTTAAATGCATGAGCATGCAGCAATACAATAACTTTTTTGCACGTCAACAACCATTTCCCTTGTCCACACTGAACATTTAAAAATATATTTTTAATTCAAATTAAATTTTTAAGGTAATATTGCATAGTTACTGGATTTCTACAGGTTCTGCATGAACAGCAATATCTATTTCGATTAATTTTATTTTAGCATTTGAAAGCAAATTTATAAACTATTATGTGCATGATGCATTTTCTAATAAGTATACAATACACATGAACTGGTATATACTGTATACAGGGTTTTCACCCCATGTTTTATTTTCTACCCTTTGCCTTAGACACAAGTGGGTGAATTTAAGACAAGGCGAATTCAAAGAAAAATATAATTTCTTAAACAAAACTGTGACTGGGTGAAATTTAAACGGGGCAAAATTGTTTGCAAGTGTGAAAAGACGAAAATAACACGGGGTGAAAATAACCCTTTATAAAGTAGTTATATGGATATATTTGTTTATATGCATATTTTTTTTTTCTCGTAGCTTTTTTTAGCTCACCTGAGCCGAAGGCTCAAGTGAGCTTTTCTGATCAAAACTTGTCCGTTGTCTGTCGTCGGCGTCGTTGTTGTTGTAAACTTTTCACATTTTCATCTTCTTCTCCAGAACTACTGGGCCAATTTCAATCAAACTTGGCACAAAGTATCCTTGGGTAAAGGGGATTCAAGTTTGTTCAAATGAAGTGCCACTCCCTCCTCAAAGGGGAGATAATTACGAAATAGCAAAAAATTAATGGCATTATTGAAAAATCTTCTTCTCAAGAACCAATGGGCCAGGAAAGATGAAACTCATATGGAATTATTGTCAGGTAGTGTAGATTCAAGTTTGTTCAAATCATGACCCCGGGGGGTAGGGTGGGGCCATAATGGACGATCAAAGTTTTACATAGGAATATATAGGAAAAATCTTCAAAAATCTTCTTCACAAGAACAGCAAAGCTATGATTGGTCATATTTATATGGAAGCATCCTCATGTGGTGTAGATTCAAGTTTGTTCAAATCATGACCCCCGGGGGTAGGGTGGGGCCACAATGGACGCTCAAAGTTTTACATAGGAATATATAGGAAAAATCTTCTTCTCAAGAACAGCAAAGCTATGATTGGTCATATTTATATGGAAGCATCCTCAGGTGGTGTAGATTCAAGTTTGTTCAAATCATGACCCCCGGGGGTAGGGTGGGGCCTCAATGGACGATCAAATTTTTACATAGGAATATATTGGAAAAATCTTCAAAAATCTTCTTCTCAAGAACAGCAAAGCTATGATTGGTAATATTTATTTGGAAGCATCTTCAGGTGGTGTAGATTCAAGTTTGTTCAAATCATGACCATCGGGGGGTAGGGTGGGGCCACAATGGACGACAATTAAAGTTTAACATAGGAGAATGTAGGAAAAATCTTCAAAAATCTTCTTCTCAAGAACAGCAAAGCCATGATTGGTCAAATTTATATGGAAGCATCTGCAGGTGGTGTAGATTCAAATTTGTTCCAATTATGACCCCTGGGTGTAGGGTGGGGCCACAATGGACGATCAAAATTTTACATAGGAATATATAGGAAAAATCTTCAAAAATCTTCTTCACAAGAACAGCAAAGCTATGATTGGTCATATTTATATGGAAGCATCCTCATGTGGTGTAGATTCAAGTTTGTTCAAATCATGACCCCCAGGGGTAGGGTGGGGCCACAATGGACGCTCAAAGTTTTACATAGGAATATATAGGAAAAATCTTCTTCTCAAGAACAGCAAAGCTATGATTGGTCATATTTATATTGGAAGCATCCTCAGGTGGTGTAGATTCAAGTTTGTTCAAATCATGACCCCCAGGGTAAGGGTGGGGCCACAATGGACGATCAAAGTTTTACATAGGTGTACATAGGAAAAATCTTCAAAAATCTTCTTCTCAAGAACAGCAAAGCTTTGATTGGATATATTTTTTTGAAAGCATCCTCAGGTAGTGTAGATTCAAGTTTGTTCAAATCATGACCCCCGGGGGTAGGGTGGGGCCACAATGAACGTTCAAAGTTTTATATAGGAATATATACGAAAAACCTTTAAAAATCTCAAGAACAGCAAAGCCACAGTTTGTAATATATGGAAGCATCCTCAGATAGTGTAGATTCAAATTTGTTCAAATCATGACCTCCGGGGGTAGGGTGGGGCCACAATGAAAGTTCAAACTTGTAGAGAAAAAAGTCACAGTTAGTCAAAAAATTATGTAAGCAGTGTAGATTTAATTTTGTTCAAGTCATACCCCCCCCCCACTCCCTTTTAGGGGTAGATTGGGACCATTTATGCATTTAAGCTTTTCAATACATGTACTAAACTGATTTTTCCCTTTTTTCCTGGCCACAGTGCTCAGGTGAGCGATGTGGCCCCTGGGCCTCTTGTTTTACATTACAGTTTCTTTTGCAGCATGTTTTTAATAAATGGTGGACTTCTTTTTGTTGTTCTCTTTATGTACTATATAGAAGTTAAATAAAATACCCTAGTCTTTTGTTTCCTTGCATGATATCTTAATTGATTTTTTTGTTTCTATCAGCAGTTTTTTTTTTTTTCAAAGGAACTAGTGAAAATTACACTCAGTAACATATTAATGTGTAAACTCACTTTCAGTGAAAAATCCATCAATGTTTCGTATTTGAAATTTGGAATCATGTAACATTTCATTACATATCAATTTAATTGTATGTGTGTATGTGTATGAATCCAGGGTTTAAAATTCTTCCAATTACCTTCTGATTTTCTTTCTGTGCAGTCGAGGATGAAGATGTCCCTGACATTAAACAGCTAATTAAGAAGAAGAAGCAGGTGTTTGAGGCCCCCAGGGCCCAGAATTACTACCATCTGGAGTATTACCTCACCCCCGAGGAGACCAGCCTACAGAAGGTAGATGTTGTCACATATGGACCGGCCGCCATTATTTTCATGGCATCACATGATCCTCGGATTGTAAGGACATGGATTGAGGGGGAATTGACCTGGGTAGCTTGGTCTCACAAGTAAGTGCTGTCTGACATTATGTTTGTTTGGAAAGGTTACTTATAACTATAATGAACTACAGATTAGCTGCAGGTCTGTAGCCAACAGATCTGAAATAATAGGGATAGATGATGGACAGCCATCCCAATTTTTTCAGACTAGGAAGCAACAGACCTTCAGTGAATTACATGTGTAATTTTTTGTAACAAATAAATTCTCATTTTTCAGACATGTGGTGAATGTGACAGATGAGTTGCTGCTGAAGCTGTTTACACATAACATTGAGTTACGGATCTGGGATACAAAGGACAAAGTTGGTGCCAAAGCCCGATTTACCAAAATAAAGCAGTTTAAAATCCCAAACTCAAAACCAGGTAGCTTAATACTTCAAGGCACAGACACAATAATTTAATCAATGTAACATAAAACATTCATTTACATTAAACATTAAGAAACATGAACATTAATTGGGAATTTTAGATGGTATAATTGGTTATTTTGCAATGAGTAGTTAGTACTGAGGTTTTGACTGGTGTTTCAGGGGAGGAGGACCAGAACAGTGCACGTAACATTGTAGTAAGACTGTCCAAAAGCTTCGCCAAGCACCAGCCAAAAAAAGCCAGCGAGATACGGCCAATTCCAACTCAGGTGTCTTTCCATTCAGTGGACAAGGTCGTACGACCAGTGGAGGGTAAGTCAAGGAAACTCAATAGATGAGTCAGGTGCCCTGTTAGTCAACAATTAATTCTTATTCCCTCTTTTCTTTATGATTTTCATCAAACATAATGATAGAGAGATGTAGAATATAGCAGTATGTTATGAATTATCTAATTTCAATAATATTTTTTGTGTTAGCTGTAACTAATCATCCTAATATCTTAATAAATACTTAAATTTGTTCACTTTGTAGATGAGAAACCCCCAGAAGCAAAGCCCTCCTATGAAACACAACCACAAGCTGCAGGGGATGACAAAGGAGAGCCCCCAGGGTCCCCTACCCCAAAAACTCTGGTGGGGGTTCCCAATCAACAGACTGACCAGGAAGGAAGGTAATTAGGGCCAGCTGAGCTGACATTACTGTTAGAAAATTTTAGCAGAAAATGTTTATTCTAAAGTCATTATTGATGAACAGCGCAGGTCTAAAAAACCATACTCAGGGTTGTCTCTAAGACCCGGGGGCCGAGGAATTTCCCCGCCTATAATGATGTAATCCCCTGGTTATTTCGGTATTCCTCCTCAACTCCCCAGTAAGGGAGGAACCCCAGTTCCCCTTTTACTTTTTAAATGTCCCCTTCTATTTCAATTCTTAGGGACAACCCTGCATACTCATTTATCAGCAGTAACCCCAAATTCTAATTTGATTTTCTTTATTTTGATATCTGAATTGCAAAGAAATGTGATAAGTTAAAAAAAAAAGCTTTTTTTTTATCTTGAAAAAATGTATTTTGTTTAGCAGTAATTTGTCAATACATTGTAATTGCTCTCCTTTTCAGGACCTCGTTCAGCCGTCTTGGGCGCCTTGCTCACTCTGAACCTGGAGAAGAACCCTCCGGTAAAGACTCTCAGAGAAGCAAGTCTAGTACAGGGAAGGACAAAGTGGGTCCCAAATCCTCTGCTTCAAGGGGCCCCAAATCTGCTGGGTCTACAGGTACGTTATACGTTCCATGTTCATAAAGGCAATCTAGAGTTGCTGTACAAATAGTATAGTTTTTTCCCTGTAATATTGCATGTATTATTTCTAGAGCTGTCCATCTTCAGTGTGTATACTATCATAATAAAAAATAGTAGGCATGCTGACTTGGGATCTCAGTTATTTCAATGTTTTAAAGTCGGCTAAAAATTTCCAACAGCTGAGGTCTTAGGCAACCCCTGCCCATTCTCCTTACTATTTTTTCATTTTATGTTGCCAAACTTTGTATTTCTCAAGATTCTATATTGAGGCAAATTAATGAGAAAAATAAATACTAAAATTAAAAAAAAATGAATAAATTCTTAGGGATGGGTATTGACAAAAATTTTGTATCGTGATGCATGTATATCACGATTTTTCCCCAAAAATATCACGATAAATAGTGATATTTTTACACACAATTTTTACTACAATTTCAAATGAATTTCCACAATATTTCCTAAAAATATGCTATAAAAACATATAACTTTACTTTTTAAATTTTTATTTATTTAATATAAACCATGTTTAGATGCCGTTGTTTAACTGTTTTAATTCAACATCTTTAGCTCACCTCGACGAAGTCGAGATGAGCTTATGCTATACCCATGGCATCGACATCAGCGTCGGCGTCCTGGTTAAAGTTTTAGGAGCAAGTCCCATTCCCAAATAACTATTAGCCCTACCTGGACCAAACTTGCATGGATGATGCATCTAGGGATGGACACTTCCACATATGCTTCGGATGCTGGATCTGACCTAGATTTTCCAGATGAGTGACCAGGTTAAAGTTTTTGGAGCAGGTCCATTCCCAAGTAACTATAAGCCCTACCTGGACCAAACTTGCATGGATGATGCATCTAGGGATGGACACTAGCACACTTGCTTCGGATGCTGGATCTGACCTAGATTTTCCAGATGAGTGACCAGGTTAAAGTTTTTGGAGCAGGTCCGTTCTCAGGTAAGTATAAGCCCTACCTTGACCAAACTTGCATGGATGATGCATCCATAGGATGGGCACTACCACACTTGCTTCGGATGCTGGATCTGACCTAGATTTTCCACAGGTGAGACCAGGTTTAGATTTTGGAGCAGTCCCGTTCCCAAGTAACTATAAGCCCTACCTGAACCAAACTTTTATGGATGATGCATCTAGGGATGGACACTAACCAACCTGCTTCCGATGCTGGATCTGACCTAGATTTTCTACATGAGTGAATTTTAGCCATATTTAAACCAAATTAGCATGGATGATGTATCTAGGGATGGGCACTACCAGACTTGCTTTGGATTCTGAATCTGACCTACATTATCCAGATGAGTGACCAGGGTAATTTTTTTTTGTGTAGCTATATAATATTATGGCCTGTTATGATTAACCTTGCATAGATGGTGCATCTAAGGATGAAAACTTCCAGACTTGCTTTGGATGTTGGAACTGACCAAAATTTTCTTGATTACTAAACAGGTTAAAAGTTTTTTGTGCAGATCTTTTTCCAAGTAACTACAAGTCCTACATGTACTTAAACCAAACTTGCAAGGATATTGATCTTAGGATGTTCCCTAACTAGAAAAAAAATATGATGTGAAATTTGCCTTACTTATAGATAACATTCGTCGAGGTTAGCTTCGTAATCTTTGATTATCGTAATCTTTGATTACCTATGTTTTACACTTCCTGTAATTGTCATTCAATAGTTTGAAGAAATTGTAAATGAATAGTTTCCGGCATTTATAGTTATGTACCAAATACCGGTATTTTAGTCTCCGTATCACGATATGTATCACGCAATAAAAAATCGCGATATACCGGTATACCGATAAATTCCAGAATACAAGATCAGAAAATGCCTTTTATTTACATGTATTTATTTTTTTTTTGAGATGTACAATGTTTATAAAGAAATAAGAAATAAAATCATTATATTTGTCAGGATCAGTCAAGAAACTGCCATCTGCTACAGTGAAACCCCCACGTAGAAACAAGAAACAGGAGCTGGCAGCCCAGCAGGCCGCAGAAAAGATCAGGAAATACGGTATCTGTATGGTACCTATCCGCATGGCAATGTTCTTCTCAGGTAAAAACAAAGAACTGAATCACATCTTGTTAGATTTATAATATAGTTAAGAATCATAGCAGGCTCACAGAAATAACCCCCATGTGTAAGATCTACAAGTACCGGTAAACACATGAATATTTTGTCAATAATATACAGAAATTTCCATGTTTACAGTCAAAGTAATAGAATCCTACAATTCTGCCTTTCGTTTTACAGGAATGAAGAATGTTACTAATCGGCTAAAATCCCCAGTACCAGGGATAGAGGACATGTTTATACAGCTGAAACTGGATGTTCCTCTGATGTCTGACCAACAGAAGAAGGAGTTAAATCCAATGATTATTACAATCAAGAATGCTACAAACCTGCCAAATTCTCCCATGACATACGCTGAACTCAACGAAAAGTTAGTCACCTTCTCATCCTCCCCTTATAGATCCATACCCTTTCTCTCAATTCGGCATCATTTTTCTCTGTTTCCCTTATCTTTTTTCTGTTGAGAACCTCCTCCTCCTATAAAATATGTCTTTCTTCTTCTTCCTCATTCTCTATTGTGAGGTCCTCCATCTTCTGGTAGACCCCTCCACCCGTTCTCTCTTTAATTCTGTTCTCTATTCAGTCTGTCCTCCAACAAATTCCTAATAATATAAAATGTCAATTTTTGATTGATTTTTTTCTTTTACATTTATTACACTTACAGTGCTCTGTGTGCAGCTTCTTTTTTAAGTTTCAACAAAGTATGATTTCATTTAGTCATTTTTTTTTAAATTTTGGTTTATGGTAAATTCATTTTACTGGATGTAAGAAAATGTAGTATTTATCCTTTATAATAAATTTTCTCTGATATTCAGTGAATTACTGTTTCACTGTGTTAATTGCCAGTTTCATGATACCTTCATGTCACTTACAATTTTTCGTTAGATGTCAGCCAGTGTTTTGTCGGTATCAATTCCATAATCAGCCGGAGCATTGCAGTGTGGGTAGGGAGCAGAAAGAGAATGTCTACTGGGACGATATCAATGTTGTGTTACTAGGTAAACAAGTCTCCGATTTGTGTCTACTGAATTAAGAACATTATTAGGTTGTGAACAAAAAAAAGGTATTCTTTATATCAAGTTTGCCTGATATCATAGCAACTCTGTTCTTTGCCTACATATATATATTAGTACGGTAAAACTTTCTAATCCAGATGTTGTGTATTCTGAAATCTTGAACTATGATCCAGTGGTGTCCACATTAGACAAGTTTTAGTGTTTATTGTTCAATTGTAGAATTTCATAAAGTTCATTCATTCATTTAGCTAAATGATTATTTTGATGGAATAAAAGTTGAAATATTTTTTATACAAATACATGCACATGTATATTTTGAAGATGTATTTTTTTATCAGTGTCAGTGAAATGTGAAAATCAAATTGCACTAATAATAATACTACCTGAAGAATGATTATGATGTAAAAATTAATATCAACAATAATGTCAGACATCACAATTAGACTGACACATGAGGACAGCTATAAGGATTCTGAATATTGCAGGAACCCAAGAAAACTCGGAACTTCGACAGTATCTGAATGGACCTCCTCTGGAGATAGAGGTACATGACAGGGATCGTAAACCAGAGGGGGTCAAACTGAAGCCCACTCTGTTTGGAGATGACTTAGAGGATGAGAAAATCAGTAATGTAGGAACTGTTGCCAGTAAGTTCTACTTACAGCTGTATGCCATGAAATATTTCAATTTTGTATGATGGGGTCATCATTAAAAATATCTTTGTTTCCCCTAACCCGACCCAAAAATCTCAAGTTGGGTAGGGAGGTAGGCAAATTTTTTTTTTTTTGACAGCAGCTTTGAAAATACATTCTTAAAATTAAATGGAATGATACCTTTTTAAATAAGTTAAGTACAAAAGAAAGCGATTTGTAAACAGCTGGAATACCATACAAATGCCGTTAAGACTGACATTTAAGGTAAATTAATTCACGAATATTATAATATTCAATCGAACGTGTGAAATCTCTCATACCAGAGTAAATTTGTTGAAATTGAATACATCTGTTTAAAAGATTCTAATGTAAACAAAGACCGGACATCTGAGTATTTATTTCATACCTACTATCAGCTTCCAATGCTTGCACATACAATGTACTTTTTCAAGGGCTTCGAATAGTGCATTGGTTCTAGAGCATTTCGTTTTGGAGTCTCGATTTAAGGAGCTAATTCTAAGTTGTATGTTCAAATCCTAATGCGGGACATTGAGACCGGTTCTTCGAATGAGACCATAAAAACTTAAGTCCAGTGTCGCAGTAGATACTGGCACGAAAAAAATCCCCCACTGCTCAATGGTCTAAAGTGCCGCATGCAAGTCTAAATTTGGAGCCTTCACCAGACAAATGTTTAAATAAATGTTGTTGTCCCAATAATTATCAAAGGAATTCAAATCAAAGAAACAATCAATCTTCAAGGGCCTTATTAAAGAAAGATACAAGGACGTCTCAGGAAGCTTGTATCATAATTTCAAATCTATTTGGAAAAAGTATGTTGACCATGTTTAATCATGACAATGCATATCTAAAAATGATAAAATGTCATACACAATGTCAAAGTCATGAAGTTTAACCCATGAATAAAAGGCAGGTAGAAAAGACGTGTGAATTATATTCATTAGGATGCAATATGCAGACTTATTTACAACTCTTATGGTCCCATATACATGTACTAAACGTAGGAATATTGATAAACTGTTTATAAGATCGAAACTCAAATAAAATGCAGCGAAATTGATTGGTTTGTTTACAAGGTGGGCCCTTTGTCTGCTCATAAGGGGTATTATGAGGAGGGCCTACGGACCTAAGCATGCTTTCTACGTACTTAATTTTAAGACAGGTTGGCAAATACAACCGAAACACGCTTAAAAGGTCATTGTATATTTTATTTTAGTAACAAAGTGTTTCAAGAGTGTAGGATTCTTGTATGCTAAAGGCATAAGGTTGATACGTCGTCGTTCTTTTAAAAGATGAACTAAGCCTCGGTGACCGAGACATGTTTGGGCGCCATTTTGTTTCCAACAAACGCTTGAAAATCACAGAACAAAATCAGTCGTTCTGATAAAAACGGATTTTGATGGAATTCTATTTTATAAAAGATGATAAACATAAAAAAAAATATTGGAATAATCTTATGAAAAAAACTTTCCAGTCGGCGCTTTTTAATTGGGTCGGCTATGTGCAGTTTGATACAAAGCAGAGTTTATAATGAATTTATTCAAGTCCATTAATAAAGACTATTTGGTGCAATCATGAATAAGAGCTTTAAATGTTTCCATGCATAATATTTAGTACATAAAGTCATCTTTGGATGTGTACCTAAAGTAGTGCATTGAAGATACTGTCAAAGTCAGCAAAATATGAATCCTGCTATAACAAATACATAATTACAAAGTATATATCAATGAGTTTTAATTAATAAGTTTTATTACAGTATTATTGCTAATTATTTTGTTGGATGATGTACTATTTATATCAAGAATTGAAACAACAGAACCAAAAATCTAATTACATCGTACTGTAGATGTTTTGATTTCAGTACCTTTGTTGTGTTACTATAAAGGCATTCTATGTGATCAACAAATTATAATTTGCTCTAGGTAGGAGAACTGTGCATAATCCTTTCAAGGGGCGTAACAAACCCTGGGACCCTTACGGAGTGGCTAAAGTGGACCTGTCTGAGCTTCTGCTGGGGCATCAATACCTCCATCTGACCGTCCCTATCCAAAACTGCCCTATCCCAGATGTGTTCCCTTCAGAGGAGCGAGAGGATGGACGAACTGTGGGAGTCATGGGAGCAGTAGATGGACCAGGTATATATCATTTAGACATAATGTAGGGCCCTGTAAAAAAAAAAGAAGAAGAGCCATGATCAAAAGTCAAGATCAGGACTCTACGGTCCTGTATGCTCACTCTTTTAAAGTTTTCAGTTCAGTAAAGAATGAATGGGGTAAATTTTAACCTATTTGAAATTTGATGTACAAAATATACATGTATGCCTAAAAACATGAAATTTTAACTTTTGTTTGTGTGATGAATACTATTACATTTTTCATATGGTTTTGTTTTTAAGTGGACAGACCTTTTAATGCTGGACATTATGTACAGTCAAATTCCATGTTAAAAGTGAAAGTAGAACTAGCCCATCCACTAACAACACCAGAGGAGGTGGCAGCCAAAGAGCCCCTGTCTACCACCCCACAGGTACAAAAGATGTACAAACTTTATTTTAACAAAAATAGTTTGCATTTAAAAAAAATAGGGAAGACTTGTCCAGTTGCACATCAAACATTGATTTACTGTAATTTCACATTTTCTTGAACACTGACCCAGGGAAACTAATAATATTTGTTTTCAAATTGTTGTTGTTTTTTTCTAGTGCCCCTTTGGTAGGATTATCTACATCTTTGGTTACAAGAATACTACAATCTTGAACCAGCTGGAAACTCTAGTCACTGAAATTAATGCCAAGGCTTTAGAGCTGGACAATATGCCACCTCATGTCATCAGTGCTGCACTGTCAACATACAAACTATCACTGTGAGTCTAATCAGAAGCATACTGTGGTTTCATTCATTTTTGTGGGACTAGGACCTGCCTTATATTGCCCCCCCCCCCCCCCTAAAAAAATCACTGACTCAAATAAATGTTTTGTTTCAGAGAGCAGCAGAGGAGTCGAGATTTGGACATTATTACAGGGTTCCAGGTGATGGACGGGGATAAACATGTCTTTGTTCTAGAGGGACTAAGAGACAAAGCCATTGGATATGTGTGGGAGATAGTCACTGCCCCAGAAAACTCAAGTAAGTGTGTACTGTATAATTGAAAGATAACTGTATTCAGGTGAATGTTGCCATCACCAGATAATGCAGTGAGAGTATAATTTTGAAAAATTCTAAATGTATACAAATATGCATGAACCTGATAATAAACATTACATGAAGACTTAAATATAAAATATTGTGTACAGTATATCACTGGTCTTACAAATTTTCAAAGGGTTAGGTTACTGAGTGAACATTTTTCGTTACAGATGTGCGAGTGCTATATAACTCAGATCTGAGCTTTAGTGAACGTCTATATGGTCCTCTAGATGTTGACCTGTGTCGCATCAAGTTACATGAGCCCCTAAGTCAGATCGTACAGCAGCCCTTGTTGTATGTCAGAGACATGGTCCCTAAGCCCTGCTTCCAGGGCCTTCTCAACCTACACCAGGTATCTCCTTTGACCATGCTTCTTCTACATTCCCTTAAAAAAAGTTCTGAGAAGAACTTATCACAGATAATTTTGTTGTTTTACTTTGTTTTCAATATATTTAAGCTACATACATTTATGTACACTTTCAACTTCTCAGATATAACTAAAAAGATTACAAAATATACAATTCATTTGCAAATCAACTGAAATATACAGTATATGCACATGTGGTTAATATACTATAGACTACGAGAATCACCAAGTTGTTTGCAATATGCATACAATGTTAATCTGTACAGTGTGGGTGGGGCAGTTTTATGAATCTACCCAAATGATATTATTACTGTATTGTTGAATATCAATATATGTAACTCTAATTCTCTTGTTTTCTATAGATTGTGAACTCCAATGTGATGAAGGATGTGATAAGAAACTCACTGTTCCCTTTAGCTGACATGGTGATCTCAATGAGTCGTGAGTTTGGAGTCCCCATCACTCAGGAGGACTTTGATGGTGAGTAGATTGAAAAATTAAAAAAAATAATGAACTAAATAAAGATCCATCCAGAACATATTTCTTGCAATTAAGTCTCATGTGTTTACCTGTTTATAAATAGTGTATACATATGTGAACTTTTGATATCATTTTCTTATCAACATAAAGAAATATATAATAGACCCAAGACTTTGTTTATGAGAAAGTAACTACTATTTGTAAATGATGTACATTATTTTCTAATAGAGCTACAGTTGAGGAAACCATCAGAAGTTGTTGTACAGGAGAAGGAGGTGGAGCAGCAAGAAGAGATGGTCCGTGAAACGAGCCGTATGTGGACCCCCATAGATAACTTCAACCCACAGTACATGGAGGCTATAACAGGACGACAACAAAGGGTCAACTTTATTAAAGAGAATAAGGTGCAGTGTAATATAAATAACTGTGGGTAAAATCCTGTAACTTTCTTTTAATGATTCCATACATATTTTGGATTTCCATTCATATCTGTGTCTGAAACCAAATTTTTCCTTCCAAGATAAAGAATTTATATTTGTGTATACATGTACCCTCTCTTTATCTTATTTTGAAAAATAAAGATACATGTATATCCAAAAATTTATATTAGTGATGTGGATGGCAAAAAAAAAAAAAAAAGCAAGAATGTGCAGTGTATCATGCTTTGGTTGAAGAAATGGAGTTATTTTGCAAAGATATAGCTGATTTCTAATTTTGATAAATATTTTATTTCAGGATGATGTGAAAGTGATCAGTGATAAGAATAAAGAAGAGCGAGAGAGGACTAAAGTCCCCACAGTGCGGGCGGACGTTAAAGTGGCTCATAACTACAGCTCCCACTCACTGAACTCAACAGAACTCGCTAAGGAGAAACTCAGACAAATGTTGGCAGAGGTACACACATAAGTTAACTAATTGGCGAAATCTTTTTTGATAAGAGCCTTATATCTCAAAGTCTCTTAAAAAATTAGTTTGTTCATTTTGAGGGACAAATCAATGCAACATAAAGGACAGTTAAAAAATATGGTCATGATGATGCAAAGAGGAAAAGTAATTTAGCTTTCCCAGATTTACATGAAGGTGATTTTGTAATGAAACCAAAAAAAGAAAAAACAAAAAGAAAAACCCAAAAACAATTTGTGAGCAAATTTGTTCATTTAAAAATATAATTCACTATATATTAAAAAAGAAAACTGTTATAACCTGATCTAACATTGATTGTAATACACTTCTAGGAGCCAGACACTAGATTTACATACTGCCAGGAGTTCCACCACTCCATGACGGTGGTACCCGTCAATGTGGAGGCACTCCAAAAAGCTGAGAAGGCAGAGTCTCGGGCCAGGTGGAAGACGGAGTCAGGGTGGATTTACCCTGGAATGAAATCCACGCTGGAATGTAATGAACATCCGAGGAGACCTGATACAGCCAGGATAGAAGAACTACACGAGGTAGGGGGTCACAATGTCTAGATTTTGTATGTTATCCAGTTACATTGATTACATTAAGAAGATTTACAGAAAAAGAAGACTGACAAATGTTTATGAAGACTATGAAAAATTTTATTATAATGATTACCCTAGGAACAGTTAATTTAATATGCAAAATTTTGTAGGAGAATATTAGATTTTAGTTTTATATTAAATTTGCATTGAATGATTTGTATATGCAGGTATTCTATAGGTTAGAGCTCCTTTCTTTAATTTCTAATCTGCTTTATTTATGAATTTTAAAAGTTATCTTGTTGAAAATATTCAGATGTATAAAGTTGTATTTCTTTTGTTATCAGCTGTGGAGGGAAAACATTCTACATGTTGGCATGTTACAACCTCCATTAGACCGTGACAAGTTTCCATGGTTACATAGGCATTACGACATGGAGTTATACAAACGTCCACAGTCCTGCTTCATCAGAGAACCAGTTACCATTCACCTGGCTGGACAGAAGCTCAAGGAGGAAAAACTAGCTGCCCTGAAGAAGGACATGGCAGTTTGGAGGTCAAAGGTTGTGGTGGATGACACACGGCAGTATGTTCACAGATGTCTCATTGAGACTGAGTTACAAGAACGAGGAAGAAAATCTCAAAACCAGATTGACAAGTTAAAAGGTCTACTGAAAGATAAACCAGTCAAATTCTCCCTCAGAAGACAAGGATTGGCCCTGAAAGAAGTGCCCCCTCTAGGTGTTGTTGTGAATCCCAGTGTCGATACTGAAGCTCGTGAGGCTGGCCTTCCATTAATACCTGCTGTAGAAAATGAGGGTGTGGAGAAAACAAATGGCTTCAAACCTGGACCTTACGAGGACCACAGCTGGAACCTAGAGAGGAACAAGATCCCTGTGTATGACTACCAACACAGACAGTTCAGGGAGAGTAAAGGGGCAGATTTCAAGTGAGTTGTTTGTTGTTGTTGTTGTTGTTTTTTTTTTTTTGTTCTGTAAAGTCTTGCAAAGAAAATGGGGAGATAAGCCGAGTCATATACATGTACTTAAATAACGACGGATAAAAAAATAAATTCAATTCTCACAAATTCCACTTTTCGTAAAATTTAGGTAATGTTTATTACCAATTTTATTTTAAAGCCAGGGGGAATGAAAAAGCTTTTTAAAAGGATTACATTAGCTAAATCACCTTCATTATTACAGTGCTATTCACACTGAGAGAACAAAGCTGTATCGTCGGACCATCGTACCCCTACAGGACTCAGAGAGAGACAACCACCTTTTCTGGATCCCAGATGACATCAATAAATTTGGCCCGTATGAGGGAATTGAGCCAATCGGTAAACCAGGCCTTCCTCCAGTTGAGAATCCCAATATAGCAGTGTCCACTGTCATAGCACAAAGGCTACAGACCACTGACCAGAAACTGACTTCTTCCCCAACAGGTTTACGAGCAGATCTTAATTCTGGAATTGCAAAGTCTTTCAAGGCCAAGGAAGCATTAGTCAGTTAATGAGATATGTTTCAGAAGAAAAAAAGTTATATATTTATTTTACCTATAATTAAATAGTCTAGTTGATGCCATTTCCAGCAAATATATTGCCTTTCATTTGGAATGAAAAACTGCTGACTGTTTACAAATTAGTCTTTATACAATTGTTGATGTCCAAAAGTGTTTTAAACTTTGTTTTATTAATTTATGCTTAACTTAGAGGTGCCTTTATGAACTTTTACAAAATAAATGATTCCTTTATCTTTAAGCTGTGATAGATGTCCATATTATTTTACCAAATTTTAATTTGAAGTATTAAAAAAGTATATTTTTGTATGTTAGTTGGTAGTTTAAAATTACAAATTGCTGATTCTAGAATTTATACATGAAAAACCAGTTGGTATTGTTGAGAGAAGATTTTTATGTAAATGAAAAAAGGACCCAAGAAATTGATTAATATATAAATATGTGTGTGTATTTTTGAATGCATGTTTAACTGAACAGTGTGAGGAAGTGAAACTGGTTGGAAAGTAATGAGTGAATTTCAGTTGAAAGGCTGGTGATAAATATCTTTATGTTTTCACCACAAATCGGTGGAAAAACTGCTGAAATTTTTTCTCGTGTATTCATACGTTAGAGTTATTTTAAATTTATAAGGAATGTTGTCATATTTCCATTGAGTACTGATATCCCTAGTGGTCTATACTGCTGATAGTTGAAAAAGTCCCATACAATACTGTTACTGTGATGTGATTTACAGCTATATTTACATGTACATACACATGTATTTTATATTACATGTACGAAAACATTGTGACATTGTTGTTACCAGTTTGTGACAATATGGTTACCAATTATTAGTAGCGTTTTAACTGTATGATAACTTGGTCATTTCAAATACAATTGTACTGTGATTTAGAAGAGAGTTGTGAAATTCAAATGAATTATTATGAATTATAAGTATTTCTGATTGTTGTTAAATCTGATTCTTAACCCCATTTTATGTTAATTGGTATGTCTACATCAAAATGTACCTAGTATACTAGTTCATAAGAAAATGCAATATTTCCCAATAATTAATTAGAAAAATAGCTTTGTAGTCTGTTAAATACTAATAAAATTTGAAATTGCACATTTACAATCTTGGAAAAAAATATTTGAGGCAGTAACCCATGTTTATTTGAAAATGTCTTTTTACATGCTTGCTTCGGTGATATTGTATTAACTGTATTAATACGTCAGTATTGTGTGTGTGTGTTTGTGCATTCTGAAATGTTGTATAATATATGTATTGTTATTATTATTTTTAGAGACAATGTAAATATGTATTTCAGTTTAAAAAAATTCATTTCAACATGAATTTTTTATGTTATATTCAAGATTGGAGATAAAATTTATATTTATTTATGAAGACATATCTGCACTGAGTTTACAAGAAATATGTATAAATTGTAGTAAACAGGCTGATCTGTCTAGATTTTAATTTTGATTTTGTTGGGCACTTTGTCCTAACTTGAACCCACTTTGTTGTTTTTTTTTGGCACCAATTCCTTTAAAAGCTGTTTTCAGCAAATTAGTGGCCTATAATTCTGTGATTGATTTCTTATACTGTTCATTTTTATATTTAATTATTTCTTATTTAATTACTTCCAATAACAATAATAAATGCTTATTTTCACCATAAACTTCCGTCTTTATATTTTCATTGACTTTCATGAAAAAAAAAAAAAAATAAATCAGCTTAAGAGGAGACATTTTACAGTAAAATATGCTTTTATCTGTAAATCAAGAGTATAAAACTGTTAAAAGAACAGATAAAGACTAGTTGTCAATAAAAGACTAATGTGCTTAAACTACAATGTATGTACATATACTATAAAACTCAATGATAAGAAAGTCACTGGGAACTCAAAATTTGCTTCCTTATATGCAAGATTCTTTATATCCATATAAGAAGCATAGTGAAAAGTTTTCTTCTGGATACATAAAAAGTTTAATCCTATAGCCAAGATTTCCTTATAAATGAGTTATTTATTTGCGAGTTTTACTGTACAAGTAAATTTGACAGGTGATATATACAGGACATATATTATTTTGACTGTCAGGCACTTGATGCCATATTGTTATTTTATTAAAAAAAATTTATCTCATGATGATTTATTAGGTACGATTTTATTTTCTGTGATGAGGAAAACGAAAGATCCATGGGCCACAACGCTCACCTGAGTAACTTTGGCCCAGCTGTTCTTCACCTAATTTCCCCCTTGTAATACCTATTGTGGCCCCACCCTACCCCCAGGGATCATGATTTGAATAATTTAGAATCTACTCTACCCCAGGATGCTTCCACTTAAGTTTCAGCTTTTCTGGCCCAGTGGTACTTGAGAAGATTTTTAAAGATTTTTCCTATATATTTTAATGTAAAACTTAAATTCCCTGATTTGGCCCCACCTTAACCCATGGGGTCATGATTTGAACAATTTAGAATCTCTATATATATATATATATATATATATATATATATATATATATATATATATATATATATATATATATATATATATATATGAAAGATGGAGCTACATACATGTACACCTACAGCATCAGATAAATTATATTTTGTACAAAGTGTACGTACTCTTGACCTAGCAGTAAAATATTCATGGAATGATAAAAATTAACAGACTTTCATTTTCAAAATTAATCTGTTATTAGCATAACTTCATTTAGAATGACTATCTGATGTAGATAACTTTCAACATGGACTCAAATTTTGTCCCTGAAAATTCTGATTTACAGTGACCAGGGGGCATGTAGTTCTCCCTTCATGTACAATTTGTATCAATGTTGGTATGAACAACTTTGTATCATTGATGGTTTGAACAACAACTTTATATCAATGACGATATGAACAACAACTTTGTATCAATATTGGTACATGTGTGGACAATTACCATCTTTGTATCAATGTTGGTATGAACAACAACTTTGCATCTTTGTATCAATGTTGGTATGAACAACAACTTTGCATCTTTGTATCAATGTTGGTATGAACAACAACTTTGTATCAGTGTTGGTATGAACAACTACTTTGTATCAGTGTTGGTATGAACAACAACTTTGTATCAGTGTTGGTATTAACAACTTTGTATCAATGATGGTATGAACAACTTTGAATCGATGGCATGAACAACAACTTTTATCAATGTTTGTTAGATCAACAAGTTTGTATCAATTTTGGTATATGTATGAACAATTTGCATCTTTGTATCAATGTTGGTATGAACAACAACTTTGTATCAATGTTGGTATGACCAACCTTTCTTTTAGTTATCCAGGTTCAATGAAATTAGCTCACAACATTTTGAGATACCTTGGACAAAGACAACAACTCACCAAATACATAACTTTCATCCCATTTTGTAGGCATAGTTACATGTCATACAGTAACCATTGTTACATACTACATGTAGTAGGAATACTAATTATTATTTACCAGTATTTACCTAATATATGTGTATATATAGCATGTAAGGAGAAAAAAGATTGTTCATTCAAACTTATTGTCAGATACACAGTTTATGGAAAAGCAACACTTAGTGAATAATGCAGCATTGACTTCATTATAAAAAAAGTTCAATATAGATTCACTTCAACAAAAAATCATAGTTTATAAACAAAAACTTTATTGCACAGCTGTATGAGATGAACATTATGCACACAGATACATGTATGCGTATAGGCATTTTACACTGTACTTTCACCATAACCAACTTGAAAGAAAACCAGCTTAATATACATGTATGCTTACTGCTAGTATATAAAGTACATGTATCTAAGAAAAAATCAATGAATGAATGTAAATGAAAAAGAGTTGCTCAAGATAAATAGAGGATATTCAATGTTTTGTTGCTGGATATGGAATTTATTTCGCGAGTGGATCAATTTATTTTCTACATTTCCACAAGTGTGAAGCAAGGGTGAAAATATTAAATAAAAATCCTGTCTTACAAGTGAAATAAATTCTATATCCAACTACATGTACAAAACATTGAATTTTTTGTTTATTACATTTTCTTTGCCCAGTCTTTTCGTTTTATCGTGTTGTACGCTGTGACATCATAATTGGAGTGCACATGGTTGAAATATTATAGCTACATGTATAAGCTGTGTGTGATTGCAAATTGTAATCATGGACTTTGGAGAAACTTTGATTGTTTACTCTAACATAACTGGCTACAGAGTAATTTTAACAAAACTCTTTGTGAAGGGAAGGAAAATTTGGAGTTTTGTCGCACTTTTGATTTTCTATTTTCACAGTGTGAAAAATATAATTTTGATATTTTTCAATCTGTGAAAAAATGTCACTTTTATTTCATCAATAAATTACAGTATTTCATTGTTAAAAATGTAAGAAATTACAGTAAACAAAGAAACATTGAGGGGGATGTTTCTTAAACATGTTAAATCCAAAATCTGTAAAATTTTCAGATGTTCTATTTTGACAAAATACTGATAGATTAAGTCTAATAAAAATTATCATGTCTCAATATTTTTCAGTCATGTCCAAGTTTAATTTGTAAAGAATCTAAAATCTCCTGATTCAGGGCTTTATCATGAAGGATTCACATCCTCTTTTGAAATGCTCCAAATTTCTCCATGTTTTATGGTCCTAAAGCTGTTCTCTGGTAGGTTCAGTTCCCTCAAACGTTCCGCTACTAATGTAGGTGGTTCCAGATAGTTCTGGAAGTAGAAGATAGAATTTAAGAATATTATATATAATTATATATTACATTCAAGATTTCTTAGGAAAGTGCAGTTTACAACCATGTAATCCAGCAACCACTTTCTTCAGCATTTCTATAAGGATTTTATAATTATCTTGGATTACTCATATTACTCTCAACAAAATGACAAAAATTACAAAATATATGAAATACATCATCCCTATATCATACGTACTTTACAACTTATGTTTACAATTATATTAAATGTGCACAGAGTATTGATGATTACATACTAAACTTATCCTTTATTATTTGTTCTTAAACTACCTGAAAATACATTTCTTATAATTTGAACTTCCAACCTAATATATGATAGAAAACTTCACTATAATTCATTCATTTCACCTCTAACATAAGACTTCCCTATCCTAAAGATAATCTACCTCGAAACATCCCATCTGTTTAAATGTTCCCCAGTGAACTCCCAGAGAGAACTTGGAGTTGATTTCTTTGTGGATATCTACAGACTGTTCAGGACTTACATGCTGGGGATGCATGTACCATCTGTATAAATGATGGAAAAAATATTTTTATTATGAGATTTTTTTTACTTTTATCCAAAATTATCATAATTTTAAAACATGTTCGAGACGAGTTCTTAATATGAAACACAAAGAAGCAATTTAAAAGGGCAAAATTTATCCAAAAGATTTATTTTTAAAGTTACTATTTTGGATATACATGTATTACATACTTGCATTTGCAATACTTTAAATTACCAGTGAAAGATATTTCTAAGCACTCAGCACACCTAAGACAATTCATACCTCTTCTAATTTCGTAAGGCAATGAAAACATCTGAGGTTTGCCGAATGATAAATTCCCAAAGTGTTAAAAAATATAAAGAGGTAGTTAGGGGAAGCATGAAAGAAACACTATGATGAGTGTGGTATATTTATTACCTTGGCTCATATGCTCCAATTGGCAGTACACTCAGGGAGAATGGCCCATATTTTTTCCCAATCTGCTGGAAGGCTATTTTATTATAACCAGTATCACCCCCAAAGTAGAAAGAGTGTGTTTCTCCCTTCACAACCCAGCTGCACCAAAGTCTCTGTGAAACAAGGTTATAATGACAACACAAAGCTCCTGTCAGATTATTAAATGTGGAAAGATCTCAGACATGAAAAACCAGAGTCAGTTTTACTAAAAAAAAAATGGTGTCCTAGTCTGTGAAATCTGACCTTATTCTGATCAATCCCCGTCCTAGTACACCAGTGTTGCGCGGGGGTACAGGCAAATGTTACACTGCGGCTCTGCTTGTCCGGTAGGTGGTGCTGTATTTCCTCCCACCAATTCTTCTCCTCCACATTCACTTCCTGACAACCACAGTCCTTGAACCAATCCTTCAGACCCATGGGAACATAATATTTAGCATTGGGAAAGCTTTCTTTGATTTCCATGATAGACTCTGTGTCCAGATGATCATAATGGTCATGGCTAATTAAAACAACATCCACTGGTGGGAGTTCTTTGATTTTACATGGAACTGGTCGGTACCGCTTGTAACCAAAGTGCTTCATCAGTTCTAATCCAGCAACTTTAAATGTGGGGCTACAACGTTCACTGAATATTGGATCACAGAGGATGTTTATTCCCTCCATTTGTACAAACACTGTCGCATGCCCAATCCAGAGGACTTGTATACTGTCTGGGTCAGGGTTTTTCAGCTTTTCAAAATCCACAGGCATAACAGGTAAGGTTTTGTCCAGTTCCTTGAGAAATGTAGAAAAATTTTGATTTAGTTTACTTGGATATAATAAAAATAAAATTGATAAACAAATAAAATGCAAGCAAAAATACGGGTAAAATTATTATTATTTTTTTTTTGTTACCACTCAGACACTCTTAAAAAATTAAGCTGACAGAATTGCATTAGCTTGATGAAGTATATAAAAAAAATTCATGATAGATCAGCATTTAAGATCAATCAATTTGTACACAGTAAAAGCATACAAGCATGGAAGTACCATTTAAAATATTATTTGTACAGGGAATACAAAAAAATTTATGTGTACATGTTTGTATATATACACTACTGTAGTGTACATGCACATATATGTTAGTGATGACTATTTCACTTTGCAATTAGAGAACAACTATACAATTCTGAAGGGGGGGGGGGGCACAAATTGTGTTTTGAGTCAGATTATTTATTTTCATAGACAGATTATTTATTTTCTTCTCCTTGACAATTTGAGCCAATAACAGCCAATATAATATCTAAAACTCTATTCCGTGGGGTAGTAGCACCAGTCAAGGAAAGATATTTATTTTCTTGCCAGTTGAGGACAGATTATTTATTTTCAACATTTTCGAGGACAGATTATTTACCTCCAAAATCTGCCACCCAGTGGCACCCACCACCATGACCACCTTTTCAGAATTAAAATAATAGTCATCCCCTTAATTAAAAGTAACATAAAAGATCACACCTTAGGGTCTGTAGGGATGTTACTATTATCTTTTTCAAGCATTCTCAGCTTCACAAACTCTAGTTTGTTGGGCATCTTCCAGGTATCAAATTCCACAGGGTTTTCCCATCTTCCATTCTTACACACGGCTTTTACTAATGGACTTAGATCTGTCATCCTGTTTTTAAAAAAGTTGTTAAACATAATTTCATCAGATGACGAAATTAGGGATTCAATTTTAATTATAATCATTCCGATCGGGGGGAAAAAACAACAACAACAAAAACATTAAAAATCTCTGGTTTAACCCTCTTACTTCTATTAATAGGATATCTCTTGATGTAGGTCCTAAAAACAAAAGAAATTTTCTGATTGAAGCACCGACTTGACTAACGTTTTACTAATATAAAAATAGCAAAGTCTGCATCGAATTTCCTCAAATTATTAAGCTAAAACGAAAGTAGAAAATTCGCATACAGTCGGATTACCAAACCCGACTTGATTAAAGTTGCGGGAAAAATGGCCGATCAAGAAATGGAAATCGACGACATGCCTAGTTCTTCAAAGATGTCCACAAAGTCTGGTCATCTACATGAGCAGCCATGGGTTGAAAAATATCGACCGATCAAGCTTCATGATATAGTAGGCAACGAAGAGACCATCACCCGTTTGGAAGTTTTTGCCAGAGACGGAAATGTCCCAAATCTAATCATTGCTGGTCCCCCTGGAACTGGAAAAACCACAAGTATATTATGTCTTGCCAGAGCAATGTTGGGGCCTTCATACAGAGACGCTGTCCTAGAAATGAATGCATCAAATGACAGAGGTATTGATGTTGTGAGGAATAAAATAAAAATGTTTGCACAGCAAAAAGTTACATTACCCAAAGGAAGACACAAGATTATTATTCTGGATGAAGCAGACAGTATGACAGATGGTGCGCAGCAAGCTCTGAGAAGAACGATGGAGATATACTCTAAGACCACTAGATTTGCACTGGCCTGCAATGCTTCTGAAAAAATCATTGAGCCCATACAGTCTCGGTGTGCTGTTTTGCGATACTCAAAGCTGAGTGATGCTCAAGTATTGAAAAGGCTGCTGGAAGTATGCGAGAAAGAATCTGTTAGTTATACAGATGATGGCTTAGAGGCCATTGTGTTTACAGCACAAGGAGACATGCGACAGGCTCTGAACAACTTGCAGTCAACATTTCAAGGTTTTGGGCATGTCAACAGTGAAAATGTCTTCAAGGTTTGTGATGAACCTCATCCCATGCTGATACAGGAAATGCTACAACACTGTGTTAATGGCAATGTGGAGGAGGCTTATAAAACTATGACCCATCTCTGGAAGCTGGGATACTCGGCAGAGGATATAATCACCATTATCTTCAGAGTCTGCAAAAACCAGAATATCCCAGAATTCCTGAAACTTGAATTTATTAAAGAAATCGGTTATACGCATATGAGGATAGCAGAAGGTGTTCAGTCCCTGTTGCAGATGTCAGCATTATTAGCAAGACTGTGTAAAAAATCTGCTGTGCCTGGTGGAATGAAAGGATAGCTTGTGAATGTGTGTGTAAAACTTCCATTATAACATCAAAGACATTTCAATCACTAAGGGAAACTCCAAATCCACATTTCGTCTAGCAAACAGCAAAAATATATCCTTGGACAGTATACTGAGTGTGAATGTGTTTGACAAACTGCCATTGTAACATTCAAAGACATTTCTATCACAATGGGGGACTTTGGTTAAACTACACATTTCATCTAACAAACAGTTAGTCATTAGAAATTCTTGCACAGAATATTTCTTGTGGCAATGTTCCTTTACTATGAAAACCTTACAAACATGGATTTCTGTCCGAGTTCTTGAATTGTTACCTTGAGTTAAACCTCACTTACTACTGGTAATATGATGTAATTTCAATGTATGTACTAGATAAATTTATACAAATGAACACATGCGTAAGCATTTGTCTCAAAATTGATTTCTCTGTGAACGTTTTCTTTCCTTGTGCAAGTATTAAATATTCACATGCTGTAACTTAATAGTCTTCTCTTATTAATAACTTAATCAATTGACTTTTAGCTCACCTGAGCTGAAAGCTCCTTGCACAAAGCATCCTTGGGTAAAGGGGATTCTAAATTTTTTAAATAAAGGACCAAGCCAACTTCCAAAAAGCAAAAAAAGCAAAATTCAGTTCAGTATTGAAAAGTTTACATGGGGTGGAGGGGGAGGGGGGGGGGGGGCTTGAATTATTTTAAACTACCCGATGCTTCCATATCAATATAACTAAATGGCTTTGCTGTTCTTGAGCAGCAGATTTTTTCCTATATATTCATTTGTAAAAACTTGATCCCCCCCCCCCCGTGCCTTCTTTTGAACAAATTTGATTCTACACTACCTGAAGTTGCCTCCAGATCGGTAGGACTAATCATGGCTTTTCTGTTCTTGAGAAAAAGATTTTTTCATATATATATAAGTAAGTAAGTAAGTAATTTATTTATTTATAGTGACATGTGTACATAATTAAATCCTTTGTTTACAAGCTGTATAAAATAACAATTAACACCCGGCCCATCGGGCCTATATGCCACTTTAAACACAAAATTGAAATACAATATATATACAAGGGGTCCAGCCTAAATTCCTTTGCAAAGGCGTATTTTTCTTTGCAACCGAAAAAATGGCGGATACGAAGCGGAGAAGAAAACGAGGTCAGTAACTTTCGTGTAATTTTTAGGAACTATAATCATTAATTTTGATAAATGGATGTTACGTTTCGGTGCGCCTATCCATCCTTTCCAATGGGAAAACTAAGCTAAAGAGATTTACTTTAAGATGAAAAAATTATTGAAGAAAAACCATAGACATGTCTCTATTGTTTGTCGCATTCATAACCAATCATCGGTTATTTGTAACATACTGCACAGTCCAAAGCTGTAAAAATTACATATATTTGTAAATTTTCCGGTCAAATATTAGAAAAACACAATTTCCATTCACACAAAGCCAGTTTTAGAAATTTAATCCACAATTTACGACTTTAAGATTAAAATTACTTTGCAAAGTCGATATTAGGACATGTTTACTTTGCAACTCTGTGATTCAGAACATTGGTCGTTATATATATTGAAAAGGCCTCTTCGCCAAAATTACAGGCAGCAATATAGTGCTTGCAATCAAATTGTATACATACTTTTCACGATGAAAATCCCCTGTCACCCAGCATAATTTAAGGGGTGTGTACACAGTAAATCCTATGATTCTAATTGGGGAGGGTGTATTTTTTTTTGTTAGTTTCTCCCTACCTCTGATACACTTTTTTATTTTTTTTCCCTCTCTAGACTGATCCCTTGATACGCTCAAACCTGAGGTTGGTAAATAAGGGAAAAAAAATCTGGACAAGGGCATATGCAAGTTCCAAAGAGTATTTTGACTGTTTGCGATCGGGTGGATTAGGGTCGACGGATCTAAAATTCTATCATCGTTGAAAGTGGGGATATTGGAAAGGGAACTGTATAGGGTGTAGAAAATTAACTATATTTCTTGTACTGTAACTCATGAATTACTGAAATTCAATTTTTATAATAATAATTTATTTTTACGATGAAAATTGTCATATAGTGATATACATTGTAAGATGACGACAATTTTATAACTGCCATTCTCTTTCATCATCTTAAAGTATTCGTACACAAGTATTGCATGTATCAAATGTTTCTTGTCGATACTGTGAACCCGAATAAAAGTTTTGACAGTTGAATCTGTACAATTTGCATACATGTATTTGAATATGGACATTTGTTTTAAAAATAAAATCATTTAAATTTGTCATACGTTCGAAATATAAAATGGGTCTTAGATACGTCATTTATACTTATATACATATTAGGTAACTAGAATGAACTTAGTATTTTAGCATAGGATTTGTTCGGCGAAATTTAAACATGTATCATGTATATCAAGACAGAATTTAAACATTTGGTGACTGAAAAAAAGATCACTCTGTATTAACTTTCTGGAAATGGTTTTTTAATTTTTTTTTTCTTAATTTTTGGTAGAATTCTTTTGGACCCCCCACCCCCCACCCCCCAACGAACAGATAGGCTTTGCATCAAATATTATTTACTCATGGTAAAAAACAACAAAATTAAATTTCTCCAATTTTTATTTCGTAAATAAAGACAATGTTTTCTAAAAAATAACAATGATATTCAAAAGTCAATCCCATAGCAATGTTTTCAAAAAAAAGGGGGGATTCCAAATGAAAATTTACCTTGTTAAACTACATCAAAAAATATCCTTAGACCCCCCCCCCCATCCCCCCCAACGCAGTACGGACCCGAAAGCATAATTCCATAAGAGATTAAAAAATGCTATGCGATGATAGCATTGGAAAAAATATTTCAAGAAATATATTGCATTAAACCCTTCATATGACGATTAATTAAAGAATATTTCACATTTTGGATTTAATGTACTTGATTATCTTACACAATCTTGATGATTTCAATCAGTTCACGAAATAGTTTTTTTTTATTCTTGGGATTTTTACAAGTTCCTGGCGATGCTGTTGTATTTAGATTTCACATAAGAAGGAGGTGGGAAGAGTTTTGTGGCATACATTCTGTTTTCGCGGTACTTAATAAGACCTTTATTATAGAAATTATTTTTTTTTTACACAAATCACACTTTTCGTTGGTTCGAAAACACTTCCCATAATGATTACATGAATACAAATCTTGCTGCGTCGAAGAAAATATTTGCTGGTAATAATCTTACTGCATTTGATGCAGTGCTCTTCTTTGAAATAGATAAATCTCACCGGTTATGAAAACAGTTTTAAAGGAAGCAATACCTTGAAATTTACGTACAGATTAAATCAAAATTTATCAGCATGTATTTTTCGTTTTTGTAATCGTTGTGATAGTGAATTTCTGTATTGTTTATACAGCAAAGTGATTTGCACAGGAAAAACAAGCCCTGAACCGCAATTTGCAAATGAAATATTTCCTATACTACCTTTATTTTGGAATTTAGATAAAATTTTGTCATTTTGTCACAGAAAGTCATGTTTGAATAAGGAGTCTTGATGTAATATATGAGATAAGTTTCTCTAATTTTCCATTCAACATGTACTCTGTTGTAAAAGACAGTATTTACCCTCATATGATGACACACGTATTCAATTCGTGTCTGCAAGGCATGTCGTTTTATTTCAATAGATTTTTTGGTATGTAAGTCGTGGGTATCCAAAAGTATCCCTCCAAAAGACAAATAAATGCTTCACCGAAACGACATATTTTGATACCGAATTAAATGCGCGAATCATTAAAAATTTCGTGATGTTTACTGGCCTTCTTTCCAGTCTCCGCTTCGACTCCGCCATTTTCTCTGTTGCAAAGAAAAATACGCCTTTGCAAAGGAATTTAGGCTGGACCCCTTGATATAAAGAAAATAAAGAGCACAACGTTAAGGGATAAACAAAAAAGTAAATAAACATAATTTTGATATATATACATATATTTATTTTGTATGCTAAGATTGGTAGTGTCTGTTATTAGTAGATAAATATGACACTGAAATACATTCTTATTTTCTGAAGATAACGGACTGTCTCCGCACAAATGAAAAATATAAATATTTTGCAACCTGTCGAGGATAATTTGAAACAAGTATACTTAGTAAATCCATATCTGACCATGCCATTTCATTAAGACCAGTGTTTTCAAAAAGTTTTGAACGATATTCAGAGTACATAGGACAATGCAATAAAAAATGAATTTCGTCTTCTACATTATTTTTAGAGCAAAAGGTGCAAATTCGATCCTCAACAGGTTCCCCATGATATCTACCGGTTTCTATTCGTAGTGGTAAAATTCCACATCTAAATTGTGCTAAAATTGAACGTAAATATTTAGGCATATCAAGTACTACATAATTTTCCCTTCCAAAAGTTGTTTTAAAATAAACGTAAGTCCGCAATTTAGGAATGCTTAAAATCTCATTGCTCCAAAGGTTTGAATAATAATTGTGTATTTTTGATTGAACCATATTTATATTTACCATAAGCTTTGACTCGAAATAATAATCCAGCTCTAGTTGGTGTAATATTTCTTTCAAATCACTGCACCAGTTATTCCTACACTTATTGTAATCAACTTCAAAAACAATTCTTGTAATTCGATCATTGCTAAAGGATAAAACTCTATTCCAATATCTGATTACATTTATCCAACATCTACACTGACTGGGAATCCATCCAGTGTCTCCATAAACCCCCAGTGTAGGAGCAAAGCGGTGTACCCCAATAAAATACCGAATCGCTCTATTTTGAATATTATCTATTGGTTGGAATTTTTTGAAACCCCAGACACTGGATGCAAAATCTAAAACAGGTATTACACAAGAGTAAAATAGTTTTTCATAAGCATTAAACCTGAAATCTTTATTACTATGAATGGAAGATATAATTTTCCCAAGAGCACGTCCCCCTGCTTTAGCAAGATTTTCTGCATTTTTCATGAAATTACCAGTGTGCGTAAACGTTATACCTAAATACTTATAATTCTCAACTGTTTCTAACTTAAGTCCAATAGTGAATTCAAAATTGGTTGCTCTTGACCTTGTTTTATTGAAATGTACGCACTTAGATTTATTGGTGTTTATAAGAACTCTCCAACGTCTACACCAGCTATGTAGTTTATTTAACATATTTTGTAAATCTTCTGGAGACTTGGCTATTAAAGCAATGTCATCTGCGTATAATAAGATAGACAATTTTCGATCTACTAGTTCTATGCCCAAATTAAGCTTATTAATATCCTGTACCAGATCATTAATGAAAATTGAAAATAAGGTAGGTGATAAATTATCTCCTTGTTTAACACCAGTTTTGCACCTAAACCAATTTGTAATCTTATTATTAACTCTTACACAAGATTCTGAACTTTGGTAAATATTTTTTATCGAGTTGTAAATTTTACCATCTATATTATGTAACAAAAGTTTGTAGAGCATCATATCTCTATCGACAAAAT